AATAATAATGAACTTCTTTTTTCCTCTCTCTCTTATTCAAATTCATGAAGCTGCTGGCCTAAAACATCAGTTACCTGGAAAATGCCTGAACACTGAAGAAGCTGGACTGACTTAAAATCAAGGTYAGTTGGCTGTTGGTCTGGGATCATGTCTAATTCCTTGCAGATGAGGGCATTCCAGATAGGAGCCCTGGAAGTGTCCCTGGTACAGGGAGCTCAGACCCACACACCATTAGTCACCTTAGAGTAAGGCCATTCAAACTACTTATTGCTCTATTGAATAATGTGAGAAACCAGGTCACCTGGTTCAGATGTTTGTGCCTTTCCATAAGAAAAGGGGAGGGAGGCTGCCAGGAAACTAGGAAGGATGAAAGTCCATCGAGGAATGAGATGTCTGGGTAAGGATCATTTTCCCACTAAAATATGTGGATTCCTAGAAACCCATGAGCAGAGGGACAAGCCTGGCTCAATCAGGAGACTTGAGTTCATCTGTTCATTGTAGGATCACCTTTTCTACTCAAACTGTATCTGACTACAATTCTAAAACTTGGAGCCTGGAAGAGCAGGTAAAGGAGAAGTAAAACACCTAGCAAATCCACATTATAGAAAAAGTGTGCCCCACCCCAGCTCACCCCAGCCCACCTCAGCCCACCTTAGGCCTTTGTACCTATTTCCAAAAGGTGGATAGCTGGGTCTCATTGTTTTCTATTATAAATGATGCTCCCCAACATGCTGGCCCAACTGGTCACCCAGAGATGCTCATTTGGGTGGTGTACATAGCTGTGACTCAAGCCATTCTAGGGAATGACACCACAGGTGGGCTGAATGTATTAACATGTCTGTGGTTGTAGGAAAAAAAGGAGACCAATGTACACTGGAATTCAAAAGAAAACCTGAATCCCTAATCCAGAGGCCAACAAAGTTTGGCAAAGGGAGAAAACAATCCCCACCACCTCTCCCACAAATGAGGAGGATCCAGGAGGATGGATCAAGGAAATGGTCATGACTCAAAGGACGGTAGCTCAGGGTTCTACGTCTCAATCAATCCTTCCCTGCAACCTCCAGCAGGTGGCCCTATTTTTGCTAGCTTCTCAGGCAGTATTCCTGGGCACTGTACAGCATATGGAGAGGGGCCTATGACAGGGTTGAGGGCCTTTGCAATGCAGACAGGGAAAAGAGAACTTCACTCTCCTAGAGCCTCACCTGCCTGCTTTCACCTATAGGAGGGCAGAGCTCAGCTGTGCCCACCCCTGCCAAAAAAATTCACAACTGGATTCAGGGGCCCAAGAGATTAGGAAAATGGGAATAAAAGTGTTTTATGGATTTTTACACTTCAGACACATACCAGGAATCTGTTCCCTTCTAATTCCCAAGACAGTCCTCCTGTATCTACAGAGTTCCCTGGCAGCCTCCCATCTAGACAGAAATACACCCGCTGCCCAATGAAGACCCTATTCCCAGAATCCTCTTACCTGGCTTCCCATCACTGTTGTGGCATTCCCTGCTGCAAGGGTCACCTCCTGGTAGCTGTGGCTAAATGAGAACCAAGCCTGGCATGGGTTAGGGGCTAGGATGACCATACCTCCCTTCACCCTCCAGGCACACCCCATTCTGCATGCTAACCCCTAGGGCCACCTGGACCAGGAATAGGGATGGGAGCAGTGGGTGGGGTGACTAGATCATGTGCCTACTTACCTGGGTCCCCCGGCTGGCTCAGGCGGCAGCTCTGCACTTGCCCGAGGTGTGGCTGCTGCAGCTGGAGAGGGAAGATTATGGGGGGCTTTGCATCCCTTTTTCTGGGTTTCCCACCACCATCTCCCCACCTACTAGGAAGCCCCTCTGGCATCACGTGGCATTCCCTTAGTGTCTCTCTCTCTCCCTCTCTCTCTCCCTCTCTCTCTCTGCAGCCTTCTCAAGTCCTTCTTCCAGCTCCCTGAGACCCTTCTAGGAAAGGGTCTCCCTCCTTCTTTCCACTTCTTGAACCCCAGTTCAAGTCTTCCACCCAGTCTCACTTGAAACCCTTTTTCCTCTGTGCCATAAACTTGCTTCTCTTGCGGAAAGCTTCCCCTCTTTCCGGATCCCCTGCCCTCCCTCCCTCAAATCAGACCTTCTCCTTCCACCCTCTCTCCAACCTGCACAACCTGCTTCCCTAAAAGTTCCCACAGCCCTAGCCTCCCCTGTCTACAYCCCTCTCACCGACAGGCTGCACCTCCCGGGACTCCAGAGCAGGCTCACCCTGGAGCCTCCAGATGCAAGCCAGTAGCAGGCAGAGCATGGGCGTCGGGAATCCCATAGGGACGCAGGGGAACTCGAGAGCCTGAGCGCTGGTTCTGGCTCCGGCTCCGTGGGCTCCGAGATATCTCACACAGCAAGGCAGGTTACACCTCCACTCCACACTACTTGTTGACTAGCTCCTGTGTCCCTGCTCCCTCCCCGACCCTCCTCCCAAGATCTTGGCTCCTCCCAGATTTAGAGTGACTGGACAGCCAAGCTCATTACCATAAGTTAGGCGCCTGAAGATGGTCCAGACTTTCCCTTTCTTGGCCTGTGGCTACTACCCTCCCCAGGGAGCCTGGATTCGGCTCTTTCAGTCCCCTGAGGGAGCAGAGGCACCTGGGCAACCTCAGCTCCCTAACTTGAATCCTGGAAGCCGCTTCCACCAGATATCAGAGATGCTGAATGAATCCAATCCTAACTTCAACTTTTACAGAGGGTCACACTGAAGCCTGGAACATGCCACTTGGTGGTCAGTAGTCAGGAGCAGACTCTGGGCTCCCAAATCCCCACCCTACCCGAGTTGTGAGCACCTTTGGAGAATGACTATGAGTCCTTCCTCTGAATGCCAGCACTAGCTCAGGAAATGTTGACTGAGCTAGGTTGTTCTAGTGCCTCATGCTGCCATATCATTGCTCCCATCAAGGCCAGACTGACAAAGCAACTTTAGTATGGTGAACAAAGCACACTCTCTGTCCAAGATGAATTTTTAAGTGTTAGAAAGCTGAATCTGAAAGCCTTGGGAGGTTGTGCATTGTTCACATGGCTAACAGTTAAGAAACACCAACTAGATGCCAGTCCTTGTAGATAATTATGAGAAGGAGGAAGAGGACAAGGAAGAGGAGAGAGATTTGGTCAGAACGCCCCCAGGTAGGGGTATAATTTTGGGTGTGCACATTCATTCATTCATTTAACAAACTTTTTGAGCATCTATTTTGTGCCATGCCCTACACTAGTCATATTATGGTAAATAGAACCCTGAGGCTATCATCACACAGATTATCTGAAAACCTGGGCATAGAAGGGAAGGTGAAGAGGAGAAAGTCAAGGACGGGGCATTGAAAACCTGGGTAAGGAATGGGTGGAGGCAGGGAGGTCTCAGAGGAAGCTTGGGAAGAAACATGCATGGGAAAGAGAACCAGATCTCAATGCTGTCCTTGAAGCCAAGTGGGAAGCATTTAAAGAAGGAGAGAATCCATGGAGATTGTGGTCATGTTAAAAAAAAAAAAAAGATTGGGTGGTCAGTAGACTCTATCTTTTGGGTAAGTGCATTACCATTGACTGCCTGGATTCTATATAAGAAATAAATAGCCACATGACACATTTAGGAAATGCAGCAAATCAGTGTTGTAAGTTGGAGAGGAAGATGCTTTGTGACATTTTTCTGGATCGTTGAAAATCCATACATTTTAATCTCTCTTTAATCTCTGATTTACCTAGTTAATACAAAGGTGAAGACTTGGATAATATTGTAAGGCAATTCTTCCCCAGGAGAGATTTATAGATTAAACTGGGTAATAATTTAGCCCACATAAAAAGTGTCTGCTTGCAAAACTTCAGCTGGCGGAACAGCACTCTGAGAAGGGGCTCTCCCCCCACCCCCCAACCCGCCCCATGCTCAACGCCAGGGCCTTGAGCATGCTGGGCAAGCACTGTATCTCTAAGCTGTATTCCCATCCTGAGAGGTGCCTTTATATGTCCCTGAAGTTACAACCATTTGTCCATCTTCTTTCTCTTGCCCCTTATGTGCAAACTGGTCAGACACCCAGTCTGGGTTAGGTTCAGGCATAAACTCCACAGTTATCCCATCCACCCACTTCACCTGGGCTTATCACTCCTCTCCTGCCCCCCCTTCCTCTGTCCCAAGCCTCCTTCATTATTGTTTGTGCCCAGAATTTGACCCAGGCAGGGAACATTTTGACTGTATTGAGTCAAATGGGCCAGAGAGTGTGTGTTCTGGATAAAGGTCAGCCACAAATCAGATGTCACAGCCAGGCCCTTCCATGCTTCAGTGAAGGTGTGTGTTGATTTTGGTTTGGGATTTGTTGAGGGCTAGGGGAGCCCTTAAGGAAGAGAAGAGGGGAAGTCTGTGGGTGGGGGCACTCCCCGACACTGGTTTAGACTTTTGTGGGCCACAATAAGACCCAGTCCTACCCCAGGAATTCACAGATCAAGGACTGATTTCTGGTGGGAAAAGTGCCTGGAGGAGACCATTGTGGAAGGCACACCCAAAGTGAGATGTGCGGCAAGGAGTCCCTGTATCAGCCGGGTAGGTGGACCTCTACCGTGTGTCCAGGGAAAACTGCCATTACTGCACCTGCTACCCCACCAGTTGAAGAGTCTCTGGACTCTGCATTTCTGCMGGCACAAAATATCACAAATTTCCTGTCCAGGTCTCCGCGATCCTCTTCCTCAATATGTTTGGGAGGTTCTTCAAAAGAAAAGCCAGCAGCACTCACTACCGGCCGCGGCCAGCAGTCCCACACTCGGGGGCCCATTTCTCCGAGGCTTCAGGGGGAGGCGACGCTACAGGACAGGTGTCTCTGCCTCCCAGCAGCCCCGCCCCGCCTGCTCCTTCGCCCAGGGTCCGCCCCCACCGTTTCCAGGCCCCGCCCTAGTCCCCGCGGAAGGCGGCGAMGGTCACGGTTGCCTGCTCTAACCAGCTCCCGGTAGCCCGGCACCCGAAGGAACGGATCGTGCAGCTGCCCTGATCGATCCCGCCCAGCCATGGACCGGAAGGTGGCCCGAGAATTCCGGCATAAGGTCAGAACAGCAAGAGGTGCCCCAAGCAACAGGGACCCGAGGTCCCGGAGGGCTGGGTGGAGGATGGACATCCCCTGTGCTAGCCACCCTTTTCTAACCCCGTCTGGGGGAGGGGAGGGATCTGGGTGGACTGGGATCTTGGAGGGTCAAGGGTCCTCTGGCTGCCAGAGAGATCTCCAAAAATGAGGGCATGGACATTGAGAGTAAACTGCTCCATCTCCAGAAAACTTCCTTTCTCCTACCAAGGACTGGATATTCTGAGGTTGGGATCCTTCTAGCCTTGGCCCAAGGCAGGACACTTATCTGAGATGCTCTACAGTGGGCAAATCCCCTCCCTCCTAGTGCCACCAGCCTAGGACTGTTGGAGCCCATGGTCATATTGAAGAAGGGAAGCTGGATGTCTCTGGCTCTTTGACCTCTAAAGATGACTTAGGAGCAGCTCTGTGAAACTCTCCCAGTCCAGGGGCATTTCTTAGGACTTGAGAGGCAGCTGAGCTGCAGTGGGGAGGAGGAGAGGTACCAAGGGTGTGAGGAGCCAGCTCTGGCCAGTCAGCTCCTTCAGGCAGAGCCTCCTCTCCAAGGTATGTCCAGGTGAGACACCTCTCTGGTGGTCCCAGGTGCTCCAAGACCTTCACTGGGAGCTGCTGGACCCACCCATGGCATTTCTAGTGCTGTTTCCAAAGCTATGCAGGAACTGCTGAGGCCCCAAGGCCAGAGAAGACTATCCCAGGGGCCTAGTGGGTGGACCTCCTCACCAGGCCTTCTAAGAGGGCCTAAGCCAGGGTGTCTGGAGCTACCCACAGGCCCTGCCAGAGCCCCAGAGGGTCAGTGTCTTTGGTCCAAGCTGAACCCCTTCCCAGATCTGAGGGAGCAAAATTCATGAGGCAAGGTCAGAGTGATTCTCCCTCCCTTCCCTGCTTCCCACAGAGAGGCCCAGAGGTGTCCAAGGTGAGGGGCAAGGAGTGAGCAGCCATTCATTTAAAAAGCATGTTTTGAACACCCAGTCTGTGTCCTCAAATTCCAGTCATGTGGCTGGGAGGAAGCCCCTACACTTATAGTCACCTGTGGCTGGGCCCTGAGTGTTGAAACCGAGGTTTGGTAGGGGCACAGTGGGGACTACCCTTACTGGAAGAAGTCTCATCAAAACAAGGCGTTAGATATTCCTGATTCTGCTCCCCCGGGGTAAGAGATGGCCGGAAGTTCTGGGGGGCTGGCTAACRTCAAGGGAGCATTTGACGTGTTCACTGGTGCAAAGAGATGTGTGGGGAGAAATTTCAGCTGTGGAGGACATTTGGTGAGTATAGGTTTCAGGCAACCCACTTTGAAGAAACTCAACCTCCCATCCCCCACCCTGGGCTTGAATTTCACTTTCCTGGCCTTGGCTTGAAAGTAATGTCAGGTTTTCTTTTGCCTTTTTTCCTGTGGGGGTACCTACTCTTTTCCTCCTTTGAGAGCATCACTTCTAAAGTCCCCAGTGTCTGACTCAACTTTGGGTTCATCCCAATCCTTCCTCCCTGGGCCCCAAAGACTCCACAGAGCTTAAGGTCCCTGTGTTCCGCTGCCCTGCCCTTCCTCATCACAAGTGCATTACCTATTAATGTGCCTGTGTGTGCAGGCAGGGCAGGTGCCACGCTGGGCAGGCCTAGGCTGGACTTTGTGCCCTGCTGCCTCAGAGACAGCAGCAGCCTTCCCCTCCCAGGTTGGGGATCTCCCAAGAACTAGGGAGAGAGAATGGGGCAGCAGAGGACAGACATGGGGCATAGAGGCACTCTGGGTGAAATTTACAGCTTGCTGTTGATTGCTTCTCAAATGTCCTTTCCTTAGTGTTTTGGAGCAAATATACCCCTGGGCAATGGTTTGAAATCTAAGTCTTTAGTTGTTGGAGGTTTATTTAAGGTAATATGTTGTAAAGGATAGTGCTGGGTGACCTGGAGCAAATTACTTASCCTCTCTCTGTCTCAGGTCTCTAATTTGTGAAATGAGGATGACATTTAACTAATAAAGTTATCATGAAGGCTAAATGAGATCAATACCTGTGTAGGGGGTTACAGTAGATCCTGACACTTAGAGAGTCCTCCAAAAGTATGCACTGTGGCTTATTATCTGGAATTAGGCAGAACTGGAGTCAAATCTCAACCCTGTCACTCACTGCCAGTAAGACTTTGGGCAAACCATCTAATCTCTCTGAGCTTTAGTTTCACCAGCTATGAGATGGGGTTTGTAGTGCTTACTCTTGAGATAGGATTAAATAGGAACKCCAATATTGGCTTCTCTGGGCCTGTAGTCACCACATGGTTCCTGGCTGATGCCAGATGTGTCCCATTATTTGAGCTAGCAGGCTCCAGGCATTGTCCTATCAGTGTGTCATTTCTCTAAGGCCACCAGCAGCACTTAGTGCCCTTCCCAATGATAGGTARCAACCTTGGGCCAGGATGGGCTAGGGGGCATGATCAGAGACTACGATTTCTCCCTCAGAGAGGACTGGCTTTTCAAATTAGCCTCTCTGCTCCCAGCCCTTGCAAGTTGCAGGAACTTGGTTACTCATTTGCTCACAAAGTATTTATGGTCTCTTCAGCAATCACACACTTGTGAGTAGCTCTGGTGTACCCTAGCTGAGGCCACACAACTGAGAGTGGGATAGGATGATTAAGATCAGAAAGAGTTCCTAACTCCAAGGAGTGGCTGATCATTCATTTATTCATACAAGCAATAAGTTTTGACTGAGTTTCTATACATACCAGACAGTATTCTAAGCATCAAGGAACAAAACAAAGCCCTGCCCTCTTAGAGAGTATATCCTAATGGGGAATATGAATAAGTAAAGCAATAAAAGTATTCTRTGATGCCAAATAGTGATAAATGCTATGAAAAAATAAACTGGGATGAGGGAAAAGAGAGTAACAGGTGGTACTTTATGTAGGGTAATAAGGAAGGCTTTTCTGAAGAGGTGATGTTTGAGCAGAGACTGAAGAATAGGGGAGGAGCCAGGGGGTATATGTGAAAGGAAGAGGGAACAGCATATGCCTGCCATGATGAGAATGAASAATCCAATACATCCAGTACTGGCTAGGATACAGACTGTGAAGACGTGACTGGATCAACATGCATGGAGGGCCACTCACTGCCAGCTGCTGAGGTTATGAAATTTGTATCCATTTGTTTGTATTTAACTTTATTTAACAAACACATAGGACTTACAACTTTCCAGACACTGTTTTAAACTTTATGATTAATAACTCCTTGAGTTAGTAATGAAAACAATCATTAATCTCTCATGGAAGGATTAAATTAAAGGAGAGTTTTATGACCATTTTACAGATGAGGAAACTGAGGCAGACCCAGTGGAGGAAGGGGCTTATTTGTCCCACCCTCCACCTCACACCCAGACCTGTGTCTAGGCTACGGCACAGGTTTGTGGAAGACCAGTGGGCAAAGAGAGTCTGGAACAACTTAACAAGGTCATGGAAGAGGTGAGGACAAAGTACTGACATTGGGGCAAATCTTCAAGGTAGAGGAAGAATTCACTGAGAGGAAATACTGTGGGTGCTGCCACTACTAATGGCTAGCCCTCCCGCCAGCCAGGGCTCAGCAGGAGGCAGGCAGCTCATCCAAAGGGAAAACCAAARCAAGCTTTGTGAAAGGACAGTAGGAAAGGGCAGGGCTACAGGAACAGACTAGGCCGGGTGACAGCAATGGGAAGCCACACTCTGCAGGGGCCAGGGGAGGGAGGSCACCAGAACACAGGAGAAGAGGCTGCAGAGAGAGGCCCAAGCAGGGGCTACCACCTCAGGTGGAGGAAACTACCTCAGGTGGTCCCTCAGGCCACCAGCCAGCGGACTAAGAGCCTCAGTCCCTTCCTCCTCCTGTTCACCTCCTACTTGTGCCTCCCACTGGCTGAAACACCAGGAATCCAGGCAAAGCCCTGGAGGACAAAGGGCAGGGTGCAAGAGGCTGGGAGTGCCCWAGGAGAAGACACAGCACACATTTGGAGTCTCTCCCAAGTGCTTAATCCTCATGACAGACCAGGGAGGGCACAGGAGTGGAACAAAATGCATTATTTAACTTATTCTTTCTCTCCTTCCCTGTGCAGCAGTCCTGAAGGGCCAGTCCCTGTGAGGGAATACTAGGGAATGAGGCTGAAAGGGCCCCAAAGCCAAACCCAGATTTTGCTTCCAATGCCCCTGAACCTGGTGAAGATGAAGGTGCTCCCTCCCACTCCACACAGACCCATAGCTCAGAGCCAGCTGAGCATCAGCCATAGAAAAATGCTAGTGCTGGCTGGAGATGGGAATGAAGGTGGAATAGAGACCCCCCCAACAGTCACTTGCAGAGGGTGAGCTCCTTCAGGACTTCTGTGCCCCACATCAGGGGGGATCCAAGGAAAGGAAAAGCTTTCTAAATCTAGTTGGAGAAAAAAGGCTGCTGTCTTGCACATCGCAGACTCTCAATAAATGTGTACAGTGGACAGGTGCATACAAAAGTGTTATATAGGGCAGGTGGATGCCATGGAGTAGATTGAAAAAGCTGAGATTTTGGAGGCAGCAGGCATAGGTTGGAGTCTTAGCTCTCCCATTTCCCTGAACCTCTATTTCCTCGTGTGTAAAAAGGGGGATAACAATATCCACCACCAGAAATTATTAGGAGATTAAAGATAATTAAAGGAGAGAGTAAAGCAATTACAGAAGCTACTGAGACATGGCAGTCAGTAAGCAGAGGGTCTAGGTGAGCTTCAGAGCTTACAGGCCTGAATGAGCAAACGAGCGAGGGACAGAATGAGCCACAGGCTAGAAGGCAGGTGAGGAGTGTGGGCTGGGYGTGATCAGGAAAGACTCTAGAGGAGGTGGCATGGTGAAGAGGGAAGACACTCCATCTTGCATGGCTCTGGGACCTGCTTTTCTACAATGAGCTAGAAATGAACTGAGAAGAGACAGAGCCTCCAGGAATTCTGGGAAGACAGTTGTCCAAGACAGGGCTAAGAGTKTAGAAGGAGGGTTCCCCAGCCTTGAGCAAGTGGAGTTCATTCATCATTCCACAGACACCATTGAGTGCTACGTGCCTGTGGGCACAACACCGTGATGGACACTGCAGGGAAAGAAAGATTATGGATGGAGAGGAGGGAAGAAATGAATGTCAAAGACCTACTGTGTGCCAGGAGCTTTATAAATACATGGGAATAGTACCAAGTAGTCAAAGCAGCACCTGTCGAAGCTGATCCCTGGACAAGTGGAAGGCAGAATTCTAGGAGAAAGGAATACTATGTAATTAAAAAAAATAGTCTAAAAGCCTAGTTTAATGGTAGCATTGCTACAGCATGCTCAGACTTCTAGAAGACTTCCATCTTTCTTTCTTTTCTTCTGGAACATTCTAAAGTCTGCAGAGTGAGATGTGAGTGTGTGTTTCCAGAGAACAAAGTAGGGCTATTTCTCTGTCTCCTTAGAGACATTTCTGGATGGGAAATTGTCCCTTCATTTGTGGGCTCTACTGTTGACTCATCACTTAGATTCTCTCCACACCTGTTTGTATGTAGATTTTTTTTAAAAAATGGAAATATTAGCCGTGGAGGTGGAGGGGACATTCTGACTGAGATTGGGGAGGTTCCAGTGTGAGGAAGAGGTTTGCTCAACTGCAGTGTGAGTCCCACAGGGACTGTGATGGTAATGACCTTGTAATAGCAGACAAGAACAGACTGGAACAGGGTTTAGATGAGCTTCCAAGTGAGAGCCCATGGACATGAGGCTCTCAGAAGGAGACTGGTAGAAAGTAGTTTCTGGGTAAGGACCTCTGAATGCAGTGGTCAGGATTGAAGGACTGTCCACAGGTCAGGAGCCCGGGACTCCCTCCACCCCCAGCTCTTTCCTGCAGAGACTGTCACCAAGTGCTCTGTGCTTGGCTTAGAGAAGGCAGAAAAGCATTCCTAGACTCTAAAGCTGCAAATTCCCTTAGTTTTCTACCTTAGCTTTCTACCCAGAGCAAAATAAAGGCTGTCCTCTGAGGACAGTCCCTCTCTGCTTAACCCTAATGCTGCTGCTAGCTGTGCTCCTGCAAAGGGGTGAAAGGACTTCAAACCTAAGGCCTCAGCCAATCAGAGATCCCTCTCCTGGCCCTTTGCTTCTCTCACCACCTGTGGCTAGAATTAGGCTGGATGTCCTTTGGTGAGGGTGTCCTCACTCCAACCAAAGCAGGCGGGATTTTTATCCTCCCCTGAGAGAACAGAACATTTGGGGTTCAAAGGGTCATCTAAAAGTGTTCTGCAAGTCACAGTGGCACACACCTGTAACCCAGTGACTTGGGGGGCTGAGGCAGGAGGATCATGAGTTCAAAGCCAGCCTTAGCAACTTAGCAAGGCCCAAAGCAATTTAGCGAGACCATGTCTCTACATCAAATATTTTTAAAAGGGCTGGGGATGTGGCTCAGGGGTTAAATGCTCCGGGGTTAAATTCACAGTGCCAAAAACCAAAAACAAAAGACATGTGTTCTGTTTCTTTGTCTTTTTGAACCAATCAAAAAGTTTTCTTAACACTTCAGAGGAATAAAATATCTTTTTTTTTTTTTTGAACAAGATATCTTAAAAGCAAAAGGTTGGAAATGTTGACTTTAAGGAGCCTTGGGAGTTATTTCCCCTTGGGATGCCTGAGTCACACCAAATGGACATGGCTAGCAGCAGAGCACAGGCTTTAGAGTCAGACTTGGGTTCAAATCATAGTTCCACGTAAAAACTATAGGGTCTTCGGTGAGTTTACTTAACCTCTCTGGTCCTTTCTGCAAAATGGTGTGAGATATGTGCTCACAGGGATGGTGTAATATGCAAAGGAATTAAGCCCACATGCCCAGTGCCACCATGGGGGCTCTGCAAAGGTCATTTCCCTTTCCTTTCTGTTCCCATGGCTCCTTCAACCTGAACTGTGAGGACAAATTCACCCAATAAATAAATACTTATTTATTGAGCACAGAACTATATGTTAAGCCAGAGGAATTTAGAATAACCAAGACCTCATCCTTCCCTTCATTAGGTTTTCTATCAAGCAAAGGAGACAGACAATTTCAAAAACAAAAAAAATAAAAACAAAACCCAGCAAACCTTAAATTACAAGCAGCAATCCATGTAATGATGGAATTGAAATATCTTGCAGGGTGGGAGTGGGTTCTGTTTAGGTTGGTGGCCAGGGAAGACCTCTCTGGGAAGGAGACTAGCCATCCAAGGAATAGAGGAATATACACCAGAAGAAAGTCTGTCATGAGAGAGGAATTGAACGGACGCTCATGCATCCAGAAAGAGCTTGGATAAGACACAGCAAGGGGTATGGATTTGGATTTTGCTTTAAGTACAATAGGAAGGTAATGGGTGACTCGATCTAATTTATCAAGATATTTTGGGTGAAGTCTCCAATTTTCTTACATAAGTTGAGGCTAAAGAGGGTAGAGATAGTCCAGGCTTGTGTCCTCATAGAGATGGGCTTTTGAGAGTGCCCACTTGTGAAGCAGAGTGGGCCAGAGCCCAGCCCAGTATCCTAAGATTTAGTAGCACTGACTCAAGCACATGTGCCATCCCCATCTTCTAGGGGAATGCCTCTGCAGTGAGGTAGGGAGGGAGCAGAAATTCCCCTGATTGGAGCAGCTTGGGGAGCTTCTGACACCTAGGCTATGAGTCCATGGAGAGCCTCCTCCTAGGTTAGGCTCACCGTCAGTGAAATGCCCAGCCTGAGTTTAGGGGCAGAAGTGCTGCCAGGTCAAGACTAGAAAATTGCATTCCCTGCTCAGACTAGAAATCCCAAGGGTTTGGCCTTACAAGTCCTCTCTGTATTGGAACAGACAGACAGTCCCTATTCTTCTGGAACTAAGGACTCTGAAGCCTGGGATAATGCTCTTAAGCCTGGAGGCTGGAGGGAGAGAACCAGGGACCCCTCCAGCTTCCACATTGCCCTGTTACTCCGTCCTGTGCTAAAGGGAGAGCCAAGGACATAGCACATAGATGAACAAAGAGCAGTCCCAAAGAGTGAAATTTGGGGGTCCCAGATCACTGGCTCCCCAGGGATTGGGGTGCTAATGAAGCAGCTCCTGAACCTGACCTTGGAGTCCTAGCCATTGACGTCAGCAAAGTTGAAATGATGTAACCTGACCCTCCCTCCAGGGGAGACATACAGGGACCTGGAGAGGGGGAAGGAGTGGCCAGGAGGCTGACTAGCGGACAGAACTCAGGGTCAACCCAGCTTAGGCCAGGACGGGATAGGGCAGAGGTCCCCTAGCAAAGGTGTCGCAGAATTCAGCAGTAGGGTGCTTCCCACCAGTGGGATGTGCTTTCCGAACCAGTGGCCCAAATCCTTTCTGAAAGCAGTTATCCGGCACTACAGCCACCATCAGGTAAGACAATGGGCTTCTTCCAGACACAGATGGCAGCCATGGGGTGAGCAACAGCACTGCCATGGGATGTCACTGTCACATGGAAGTTCCCATCCTGTGTGTGTACATATTATCTCTCCACCTTGGCTCAGCCTGGCCACATCTGGATGTGCAAAGCCCACCCTGGCATGTTCTGTTCTGCGTGGGTATGACATATTGGGGTCAGGAGGTCACCCTGACCTCTGTCTTCCTTCCTCTCTTCATAACTCTTCTTGAACTGCTGGAATAGTTTCTGGTGTGGCCTCTCCTCTCTGGAGTCTGCTATAGGTTTTCTGGGCCTGGAGCTGTAATTCTGCCCTTGGGTTTTACAGGTAGATTTTCTAATTGAAAATGATGCAGAGAAGGACTATCTCTATGATGTGCTGCGAATGTACCACCAGTAAGTATGCTGGGCCAACTCCTATGAACCAATCCCCACAGGGGTACTCTATGCTCAGGGAGCCCTGGGATGAGCTGTTCTAAGAAAGAGGAACTTGGGGGAGCAGATGCTTCGTGCTCCTGGGAACCAAATGGACCTGCCATTTCAGCAACTTGTTTTAGCAACTATACAATTCTTTGCTCTTGACTCTGTTAGAGGTCAAGGGTACACTTGAAAAACAGACTGGACTCCACCTTTAAGTTGATCACTGTAATCATGGGGGAGGATTTAAAGTAGCCAGATATATTTAATAGAGTGCAATTGTTAGGACAGAAGAAGAAATGAAAGCAGGCCCTGGCCACTGCATTGGATGTCTCTGGTCACCCACCTGCTTTTTGATTCATTTGGCCCACATTTATAAGCTCCTGTCAGTTGCTAGGTAGCATGCAGGATCTAGGATGAAGAAGATCCACTTTGTTTCCTTGAGTCACTTGTGGCCTGGTCGGGGGAGGTGAACAGGCATTATAAGCACCAGAAACTCTAGAATACGTTACAATAAAATAATTGGCAAGTGGAAGTAAAAGTAGGAATTTAAGGAAAGGAATTTTCACTTCTAACTGAGGGGTCAGGGAGATGCCAGAAGAACTTGAGCTAGGCTATGAAGAGTAAGAAATTGGGATGGTGAAATATTGGGGAAGGGCATCCCAGGATGAGGGCTCAGCATCATCAGAAGTTCAGAAGCACAGAAGCACAGGGTGTGGATGGGGAATGAGAGATAATCTGTGAGTTAGACCTTGGAGCACCCTGAGAGCATGTAGAGCCACAGACTGGAGACATTCCAGGAGACAGGTCATGGAGGACCCTGAGGCCACCAGGTAGAATGGATTTTGTCCTCTAGGCAGTAGGGAGCCATTGAAGGATTTTGAGAAGGGAATGACTTATATTAGTAAAGATTACATGAGAGTGGGCAAATCAGCAGGCAGCTGGAGATGCAGAGGTGTCTGAATTACGTGAAGGCATAAGAAAGATACTGAGGGTGGAATTTCTAGAGTTTAGCAGCTGATCAAACTAGAAGATCAGAGGATGAGACAGCTAATCATGTCTCACACGGAGCTGTCCTGTGTGGGAAGATCCTGAACTTTAGAATAGGCAGAGCCAAGTTTGAAATCCGGGTTGATTTCATGTGCAGAATGGGTTAACAGTCCCTAACTCACAGATTTCCTGTGACACTTATGTGAGAGAAACAAGCTCTTCCATAGCTCATGGTCCAGAGTTAGAAGTTCTGGACCTTTCAAGAGAGTTCTTAATTCCTAGGCCTGGGCCCAGTGGGTGGGGAGCTGGGCTGGGTCAGAGGTCTTGGTCAGGAGTAAGGCACCAAGCATCCCCTATATCTCTGCAGGACCATGGATGTCACTGTGCTTGTTGGAGACCTGAAGCTGGTCATCAATGAGCCCAACCGCCTGCCACTGTTTGATGCCATCCGGCCACTGATCCCATTGAAGCATCAGGTGGAATATGACCAGCTGACCCCTCGGCGTTCCAGGTATGGAAGGAGGCAGGGGTGGAAGAGGTCACCCTGGGATGAACTGAGTCTCTCACTAGTGGGCTGGGCAGTGCTGGCAGTCAGGCTGAGCTGGGCCATCACTAAACCACCCCACACCATGGCAGGAAGCTGAAGGAGGTGCGTCTAGACCGTCTGCACCCCGAAGGCCTTGGCCTCAGCGTGCGTGGGGGCCTCGAATTTGGCTGTGGGCTTTTCATCTCCCATCTCATCAAAGGAGGTCAGGCAGACAGCGTTGGTCTCCAGGTGAGTGAGCAGAGTCTAAGGAAGAGGGGCCCAGAGGCTCAGACTTCCTGCCTCCCCTTCATCTGCTAGACAGTGTGGTACAGTACAGGCATCCACTCTCCTGAGCCTCTGGGAGAGGAAGAGGCTGCTGAGCCCTGACAGGGATCTGCAGTTCCATAGAAACCAGGTCCCAGGCCATCTGTTTTCTTGAACCTAACTGCTGCCTCGTCCCAGATGCTGCTGCCCCACTGGCCCCCACCTCCCTACTTTCTGAAGGAGGATCATAGTTATGTTCAGCACCCGAAGCCTGGCACAGGTCACCTTTAGCAGCAGGGAAGAAGGCCCAATGTAGCATGATGCTTAAGAATATAGACTCTGAGAYTGAACTGCCCAGTTCAAAACCTGGCCTTGCTGTTCATTAAGCTGTGTGAATTTGGTGAAATGACTTAACCCCCGGCCTCAGTTTCCCCATCCGCAACATGGGGTGATGATGAAACAATCTACCTCATCAGGTTGTACAAGGAACAAAAATGAATTAGTATTAGAAAGCTTACAACACTGCCTGACACGGAAGTGCTTTGTGTTTCATAAATAAGCAGAGAGAGGGAGACAGTGAATGATTAACAATGTGCTGGATACAAGCCCACAACGGATTCTCACTGTTTGCATTAGGTGTATCATCCCCAGTTATGGTTAATAGAGGCTTGGAGTCCAGTGAGTGGCAGAGCCAGGATTAGRACCTGGGTCTCCTAAGGTCAACCCAGAGATCTCCCTTTAACACCTCAGGGTGCCTCTCCACCATGGTCCCTGATCCTCCATGTCTGAGCAGAGCAGGGCAGACATGCAGGTCTCACTCCTCCCAGAGCCTGGAGCTGTGTTTTTGTCTGTTCAGGTAAAGGAGGCCCTCCCCAGCTCCCAGAGCTTCCAGAGTGTTTGTTATCGAAATCGCAATCCCAGAGGCCAAGTCAGGGGCTTCAGGGGGCTCCAGTGCTAATGGTACCCGAGAGTGAGGAGTGGGGGTGGAAATAGGGAGCTGACAGACATGGCTTTGTTCTGAATCCCTGTCTCAAGGCTCGCCGATGGCGTCTGAAATTTCAACCCCTTCATTATTCCTTTCCTCTGAGGCACATTTTCCAGCCCAGAAACAGAGTCAGAGAAATAAACATAATGAGCGCCTCTCTTGGCATCATCTGAGGCCCTCTTTTTTTCCAGGGCGAGCTCCCGTCCTCAGATGAGCATTTCTCAGCAGTGCCCCAATGCTTGGGGACGAGAGGACATTTTAATGAAACTCAGGTTTTACCTTCCCAGCTGTTTCTCAGGCTTATGAATTATCCACCCTTTCTTGTGCTCATCTCTCCTTTGTTCCACGGACCCTCAGATGTTCATATCTTTGTGGTGCCTGCACAAAGGCCCTTTTGCAGGGTTCTTTGTGGAGGGAGAGGGAGAGGGAAGTTGATCCTGTAACCTGAGCCAGGAACCCTGTGGGAATTTTATTCCTACTGGGGTCCTGGGCAAGTTCCCTTTAGGAACAAGAAAGGGAACTTCACTCAGAGGAGCTTGGGAGAAAACACTTGCGTCACTGACCTACCTGGGTTTATGTTTCCAAGGAGATCTCAGGCCTGAGGACAGCTGGGAGAAGATTCTGGAAGACAGGGGAGAGGCACGTTCTGTGCCTAAGACCCGGTGCTGATTTGACCTATGAGCTTGGGTCCCCAGTGGGGCTCAGATCCTCTGATAGGACTTAGTCCTGGGACTCCATTCCTCTGCTCTTCTTTATTAATGAATTCTTTATTAAGTCTGTGTCCTACACAGAGGCAGCCTGTGCTGTACAACTTGCTGTATCTACTAGGGCTAGAAAATGATTCTCTGTGCCTTTGCTGTCCCAGCTGTATAATGGACAGAGCAATCCCTGCCTTCCTGTGGGACTCGAAGGCTCTGACAGGTGGCAGGGATCCAGAGAGGACAAGATGCAGGGAACAGTAGCCAGGCTTGGCCATTTGCCCTTCTTTTCTTCTTCCAGACACCCAAGAGACAAGGCTTGTTGTCTGTCAGGAACACCTGACTTGGGATCCTGACAGCCTTATTTGCTCATGGGGTGACCTTGAGCAAGTTATCGCACCTCTCTGGGCCTCCATTTCCTCATCTGATTCACAGACACACAAGTTCCTGCCCTGCAGTTTTGCTGTGAAAACTAGGTATAAGGAGCAAATCCAGCAGTTCTCCTTGAATCTGATGTCCCCATAAACCTAGAGAGTTCTTTACTGAGCCCCTCCCTTTTGAGCCTTTTTGAGTCTCTGGACACCTCCGTCAGGACTTCCCCTCCCCCAAGAAGACTGGGGTCTGTGTCCAGAGAGAGAGGGGGTCATTCCTGGCAACAATGAGAGGTGACTCTGTAGAAGTGCTATAGGATGGGAGTTGGCTTGTGGGGCCCTTCAGAGGCTGTGTGTCCCTTAGCCCCCATAGCATCCAGCTATGTATTAACAAGTCTGCAAGGCGTCAGCACATGTGGTTGGAGTTAAACCCTCAGATACCCTGCACTGGCCTCAGACTGAAGAGGGGCACTTAGGATCCAGTTACTATTTTGCGGCTCCTGCCTACATGATCTTGGATAAAATATCACCTCCCTGGGCCTAGGTGTCACCTGATGTCTGAGGGTCCTTCAGTTCTGTGCTTAGTCAATAACAAGCTTCAGTCTGATCCTCAGGGCTTGAGTGCCAGGCAGCAGTAGTGTCCAGCAGGGCCAGTGTCAGCCTGTATCCCCAGCTAGCCCTGCAAGCCCACGTCTCCCAATCCACTCTTGCCTAAGCTCTGAGAAGAGGGACCTGAGCCATGGGTTTTGGGCTCAGGCCTAATGATAACAATCATGTGGAGTGAAAGGGATGCCAGAGTGAAGGGACAGAGACCTGAGTCCTACTGAACTCCTCACTCCCCATCTTGGTTTCCTCATCTGTAAAATGGGGCAAAAGGAAGTACCACCTGCCCTGGGATCCCTCAGGCTGGTGTGGGGTGGGTTGGTTGTGACAAGGAATAGGGCTCATATAGAGGTTTAGCCTGGCCATGAGCACCTGGTGGTGGGCTTTTCCTGCTGCCAGATGTTCCCTCCACCTAGTGCTTATTCCCTCTCTCTGTGGCCAAGGTGGGGGATGAGATTGTCCGGATCAATGGATATTCCATCTCCTCCTGCACCCACGAGGAGGTCATCAATCTGATAAGAACCAAGAAGACTGTGTCCATCAAAGTGAGACGTAAGTGAGACCAGAGGGTGGTGGGGCTCAGTGACTGTGGACTGGAGCAGACAATGGGGTTACTCAGCTCCTGCGGGGACAGAGAGGGCAGGGAGCTGCCCTAACCCCAATGCTTTTCTCCCACAGACATCGGCCTGATCCCTGTGAAGAGGTAAGTGAGACCCTCCTCGTAACACTCTTTCCTTGTGGCTCCAAGGTCCTGGTATCAGCCCTGGGGTCTTACTCCTCTTCCCCCAGGTCACACTGTTCCTGGTCCAGTGGAGGCTACAAATGAGGCAGATATGGACTTGGGGCCTGGTCCCTAAATCATCTCTAATAACTATTTGTTCTATTTTTTCCTCTTGTCAGCTCTCCTGAGGAGCCCCTCAAATGGCTGTATGTGGATCAGTTTGTGTCAGAATCTGGGGTAAGGGCCAGGACCCACTGTGATGGCACTTTGGTTGAGCAGACTTCCAGGAGGGGCAGCTGGTCTTAAGGGAGGGTTGGCTCTAAGGACATGATCTTAGGGCCTCCAGGACACCCAGAAAGCTCCTATGGAGTGGTGGGCCCTGGGCTGGCCTAGCTAGTGTGCAGACCCACACCCCAGGGGCAGAATGACCAACTTGCCTGTGAAAATTAGGCAGTACTTATCCTAAAGATATCACAAGCTCAAAAGGCTATTTGCATGTACATTGACATCCAATGACCTGCTTTTGTTCCTCCTCCAGGGCAGTCGAGGCAGCCTGGGTTCTCCTGGGACACGGGCACACAAGGAGAAAAAAGTCTTCATCAGCCTGGTGGGCTCACGGGGCCTTGGCTGCAGGTGGGTGGCAGCATGCCTTAGGCTCAGTTGTTGCAGGTAGACCCTAGCGGGCTCCTGATGCTTCTTCCCTTCTTCACTGCTGCATCTGAGGACACTTGAAACTATTGAGTAGAATATTTACAGGCAATGCAATTTTAGTGAGGTGACTTGTCCACCAGTGATGACACTTCTTGTTGCCTGAGTTCCACTCTGAGCTTCGCAGCCACCCAGAGCCAGAGAGACAGCTCCAACAGTTTTCATTTTACAGATGAGGAAATTGAGGCCCAGAGGCAGAGCCATGGTCCTTGGGTGGGCCCTTGACTCACTGCAAAAGGACACTACCCATCTGGGCATCTCTGTCACAGTTCTCTTGTCACAGATTACCTCATGGCTTTCTTTAAGAGGTAGTCAGGGAATTCCAAACAGGCACTGGGCCACAGGAGGAGTCCGTATCAAGTATGCAGGTGCCACAGTCACTCCCTGGTCAGTTCCAGCCCTGCCCTGCCATGCACAGGCTCCAGAACCTGAACCACTTAACTTAACCACTCTGAGCCTCAGTTTTTCCTTTTATAAACAGGGGAGCATAATACCCATATCACAAAGTTATTGCAAAAGAAGTAAACAAAGTACTAAGCTTAGTGCCTAGCAGGTAGTAAGTGGCTAATAAGTGTTGGTTATTATTATTTTTGTTATTCTGATTATTTCCATTCCTTTACATTTATTCAACATTTTATAAGTGATAAAAATTATCTTTCCTTTCTGGAAGATGATACCAACATAGAAGCCAAATGCATAGGTGCCACATAGGGTGAAAAGGACTCTGAGGGAGATATATCCTGCGTCAGGGATGGCAAATAGGTTTCCTATCTGTGCCATCTCTAATCAATTAGTAGGTGGCTTCCTGGGGTACTGTTCTGCAAAGTATTCTCTCTTTTTTTAGTACCAAGAATTGAACCCAGGAGTGCTTAACTACCAAGTCACATCCCCAGCCCTTTTAAAATATTTTATTTAGAGTCAGGGTCTCACTAAGTTCTTAGGGCCTCCCTAAGTTGCTGAGGCTGGCTTTGAACTCTCAATCCTCCTGCCTCAGCCTCCAGAGATGCTGGGATTTATAGGCATGCACCACTGTGCCTGGCTCTGCAAAGGATTCTAAAGCTGTATCCAGCTTGCTTGGAAAGAGTGCTATAGTTGCTTAGTGATATCTGCTACAGATCTAGGGCAGGGAAAAGAATGAGCAAGTGCCATCCTTCCTGTAGATGTTTTGGGGGCACAGGGGAGGGGGCACTTGCTCAATCTTGAGATAGAATAAGGGATCTACTGAAAAATTTTAAAGGAGATAGTATTTGAGTCATAAGGTATGAAAGGAAAGTTCTAGAGAGAGAAAAAGCAGCACTTGTGGTATAATGGGTGAGGATAGGGTGGGGAGAATTACAAGTAGTTTTCTGTGTCTGTAACCCAGGGGAACAGTGGAAATCAGGCTAGAAGGGAGACAGAGATGGAGTCTGTGGGTCCTGAATTCATGGATGAACTCTATCCTGGACACTGAATGCCCAGATAGAGGGTGATAGACAGGACATTGAAAACAAGTGAGTGCTTCAGGGAACAAGCAAAGAGGGTAGAGCTTCATCCACATTTCCCACCTTTCAAGCATTTCCAGTGGTCCAGTCCAGAAACCGGGCATCTTCATCAGCCATGTGAAGCCTGGCTCCCTGTCTGCAGAGGTGGGGTTGGAGGTGAGTGACCCAAATGGCATAATATTTGATATCCAATAAGATAGTTATGAAATGGAGAGATGACAGGGTGGGCTTGAGGCCCTCCGAGGGCCCCATCAAAATTTTTCGACTGCTTTACTCATTGGGAAGAGTTGTTAAGCAGCCACTTAGACTCAGCACCTAAACCTGGCACCATGGAGGAGCCCTTCCTCCAGATGAGTGAGTGTAACACATCAGTCCTTCTCCATCTCTCCTTCAGACAGGAGACCAGATCGTTGAAGTTAATGGCATCGACTTCTGTAACTTGGACCACAAGGAGGTAAGATGTGAGGGTCTTTATCTGCTGGCCTTATCACCTTCCCACCCCAGTGCTCACCCCAACCACCATGGTGTGTGTGGTCTCTGCCTGGATTGCCCTGGTCTATCTGTCAGACCCCAGATGACTGACCTCCTGTTCCCACAGGCTGTGAACGTGCTGAAGAGTAGCCGCAGTCTGACCATCTCCATTGTAGCTGGAGCTGTAAGTCCAGAATGAGGTGGTGGGGGCCCCATGACCCCTGACCCATAACCTATGACCTCATATCTCTGTCACACACTCCCAGAAAGGGCCAAAGGCCTGAAACACTGATGGTAGAGAAAAAGGGCTTCTGCCCAGCAAGAAGCCTGGGTCAGAGACCTCCAGAGTTGCAATACACGGGGAGGCACGGCACTGAGAAGGCAACCCAATCTTGACCCCCCAAAGCCATGGCTGTGATATACAGCTTTCCCAGGGGCCTGAGCAAAGGGCCTCTTTCTCCCCACCAGGGCCGGGAGCTGTTCTTGACTGACCGCGAGAGGCTGGCAGAGGCAAGGCAGCGCGAGCTGCAGCGGCAGGAGCTCCTGATGCAGAAGCGGCTGGCCATGGAGTCCAACAAAATCCTCCAGGAGCAGCAGGAGATGGAGCGCCAGTGAGTGGCCATACGGAGGCCCCACCTTCCCAGACCGCCTTTGCCCCACCCATTTTGGCTCTTGTCCTCTGCTCCTGCACAGACTTCATCCCCACTTCCAGGGCTGTCCTCAGACCAAATAGGTTAAGCGGCAGGTCAGCATATCAATCCTCTGCCTCAGACCACCAGGCTCCTCCCTCCTTATTGAGGACGGCCTCTGATTTCCAGACTCCAGGACTATGGGAAATGAGACTCCTACCAGCAGCACTGACATGTTGAGTACCTACCACATGGCTGATGCTGATTAGGACCTTGCTTATGTTATTTAATTTAATCCCCACGCCAGCCCTGGGAGGCAGATGGTATTAACCTGTTTAATAAGTGAGGCAGCTCAGGCTCAGAGGGGTTAAGCATCTTGGGTCCAAAGTCACACATGACCAAGCTGGGATTCACATCCAGACAAGCTGACTTAAGAACCTGGCAGTCCCCAGAGGGTTACCCACCTGTGGTGCTAACCACTCCCCACCAGGTGGTTAAAATGATGGCCTGAGAAAATATATGGGGCAAGCAATTCATAAAAGAAAAACCACAGTCAAAATCCAAATGCAGAAATATTCTCAGCACTTAATAAGAATTTGAAGAAGGAAGGAAAAGGGATTTCCCCATCTCCAGCATCAAAGAACTAACCTAGAAAGCCACACTTGGTTAACAACTCCTGCCTGGGGTCTGGCTGGGCCCTCCTCTGAGAGGACCCTCTCTCAGCCCAAGTCCTGCTTGTTGTTAGTCACTCCATCTAAGAGTTTGGAGGGGAACACACGGAGTGTGGCCCTCATGTGAACCTGCCAGTCATCTCCTGTGGCACAGAATATCTGCCTAGCTGTGCCAGACAAAAATCTCCCAGGAGCACAGGTTGTTGCTCAGACTTGTGTTGGACAACTTGCTCAACATCAAAGCTGGTGTAAGCATCCTTGGAAGGGAGACTGCAGAAAACATTTAAAACTTTTTCTCAAATCAGGAATCAGCTATAAGGAATAGTAAGATTTTCTTGCATAGACTCAGACATGCCTACCTGCATTTATTTTAGGAGGAGAAAGGAAATTGCCCAGAAGGCAGCAGAGGAAAATGAGAGATACCGGAAGGAGATGGAACAGTGAGTATCCTGGATTTGTGTGTGCCTGCACATGTGGTGCTCATGAGTGTGCTTCCAGGAGTGTGGCCAGCCAGAGGTCACCTCTAGGCCCAGTTTACCTGGCCCTCTGTCCCCTAGTAGCTCCTCCTTTATTTGTAGCCATTCCACACTCCTAGTACAGCCCATTATACCAGGGCAATAAGAACTTAGGTGTTTACTCAGAACATCAGCTCCAGGGCCGGCCTTCCTCACCACATTAGAACCATGAGGCCGCTCCGGGGCTGGTTGGGGTTCTCAGGTAGGCAGGAGCTAGGCCTGCAAAGGTTCTGACTCAAATCACAGGTGTGGGGTTTAATTTCAGGATCGTGGAAGAGGAAGAGAAGTTTAAGAAGCAGTGGGAAGAAGATTGGGGCTCCAAGGAACAGCTCCTCTTGCCTAAAACCATCACTGCCGAGGTGCACCCAGTACCCCTTCGCAAGCCAAAGTGTAGGTACCATGTGCCAGAGGAAGAGGTCCTTCTAGGACCTGGGGCTGGGGGGATGGACAGAAATGCTGGCCTTCCTCCACTAACTGCCCATGACTCTCTCAGATTCATTCCCTTTATGGTGGTGCAGCTGAGTGTGAGGGGCCATTTTTCAGGGCTTTAGGGTGGGAGGGATCTGTCTGCCTCCTTGTCTGGGGCCTGCTCCACACACAAGCTCACAGGCTCTCCCCTATAGTACACACAGGCCACTGGGCTGCTGCAGATGGGAGAGCGAGCGGTGCAAGAGGAACTGGCTCGTGTGATTGTTGTCTTAGTGTGTGGGGTGAGGTGCCCTTCTGTCTGGTTCTAGACTGGGTTAGGATGAAACCAAAAGCAAGAAAGAGGAAGGAGCTCTGGTGGCCCGAGGTTGGTGGGCAAATGAAGGAGGAGCTTGCCTGAAGTGCCTCTTTCACCTACATCTCTGCACATGGGTGGCTGTCACACCACTCCAGGGGTGGAGACAGTGAGAGGACTCTGAGTCCCCTCCCAGATGCCAATGTGGGTCTGGTGGCAGCATCATGCTGGGATCTCAATTCCCACCATCGTTTCCATCTCCTCTTCACTGGTCCATTCTTACCTTACCTCTCAATCCTGGCCTCCACCAGCTGCTACSCTGTCCCCAGGGACCCAACTCAGAGAACCAAGGCTCCTCTCTCTGTTGTGTGGTAGCCAATTGGAATTCTGTAGTGGGGTCTAGATAGCTCTGTCCCAACTTTGGATCATATCTGAGCCCTAAAGGGACACTGCATTGCCAACACAGGCCTCTTGGACTGAAGCAGGTAGCTCCCAGAATTCCTTCCTGGCAGCAGAGCACAGTGTCATCTCATGGTTGTCTCAGAAAGACAAAGCATGCTGTCATCACCTTCCCCTATGACATTCAGTACGAGCTGAGGTTGTGGCCAAAGCTGAATTCCTGGTGAATAATCCCTGTTTTAAACAGGCCGCTAATTTGCTCTTATGAGTGAAATGGGAGCTTTGAAAGGAGAGAAATTGATTGTAATTGCTTCTCATGAAAGTAATACTAGTCAATTTAATGCCTTCCTAGAAATTAGGTCTCAGCTTCACAGCAAGGTGCACCCTCTCAGGAACCGTGGAAAATAAAAGCCTTTCACTAACTAGGTATTTATTTAGCATTGTTTTAACCAAATCAAGTTTCTTGAATAAAAGGAGTAAGAACTTTGCCTTTGCTTAAGATACATGTATTCCAAGGCCATTCCACAAAGCACAGGATTGATGGCCGAAGTCTGCCAGCTCCTGGGGCAGCTGCCACAGCCATCCATCTCCATATGCACCCACAATTTAATCCTAACTTGGATGTAAGTCAAGAAATGTAGTACAGCCTCTGACACTGCTCAATTCCTGTCTTCCTGCTGTTCCAGAGCAGCTGGAATAGTCATGGCTTTGTTGGGCCAACAGAATCTCATTGGCCAGCCAGCCTCAGCCCACCCAACCTTTAACTCTGGGACCCAATTAGCCAGTAGGTGAGGCCTGACTCAGGTTTCTGTGCCTGCAAGGGGTGAACCTACATTTTTTTAAAAATAGGGAAAAGTGTGGAACATCTTTAGCCTAGAACATGAAGGCCCTCAGTGTAAGGATATGGGCAAGACAGACTGCTCCCCCCACTAGCTGCCCCAGAAGGTTCTGAAAATTGCATCAGCCTACCTCTCCATGATAATCCAGCAGCACCCCAACATTCTACCAAACCCTCAGAAATATGATAGCCTGTCACAGAGGTCCCTAAAGACCCTTTCTTAGCCAGAGCAGTGGTGAAGGGGTGCTGTCTTTATTAAGGACTCCAGAGCTGGAAGGGCCTTGGGAGATGAGGAAGTTTAAAAGTCATAGCTCTAGCCTTCTGTCCCTAAAGGACTTTTTAAATCACCCCCCCCATCCACAATAGACCTATGATATGAAAGTTTATTTATTTTTTCTTACTTAACTATTCGGTAATCCTTTGTCTTCCCACTGTTTTATCAAGTAGTCCTTTTGTTGGCAAAGGCATCAGTGTTCTACTGGTAAGTAAATATAATTCTAGCCCAAAGCAAAGAAACGTAACATACGGCCTTTTCACAAGCCCATGGGCAAGGAAGCTTGAAATATGACAAAGTTCATCCTTCCACAAGAAGTTTTCTTGCCGATTTTCTGCCTTCTGGACCAGGGTCCAGCTGGAAATAATTGGAATGGATGATTTCTTATTCTGTCCACATGATGTCTTCCCAACTATATATTCCCTGTTTACCTTTGGGAAGTCCCCACTCCTCAGGATCCCAGCMTCTACCTAATACCCACCCAGCTCAGACATCCCCCAGGGCACCCAGAGCCCCAGGGCAAGGGCAGTGAGAAGAAGGCAGAGGATGTATTGTCCCCCAGCAAGTGTTTGCCCTCAAATGTGTTTAAGATTCAGATGTTCCCATCTTCCTCATCCACTTCCCAACTTTCAACTGGGCACCTTGAAAAATGGTTCTCAGGTGTCAGGCCCCTATTGTTCACCCATTTTACAGATAGAGAAGCTAAATGTACTAAGGTTGAAAGTACTACATGCACCATCCAGAGTGAGACGCCTTTGCTCTGGAATCYTGAGGCTTTTCCTCTGCCTTTCTTCCTTGGAAGAAAGTGGTCACAGGTCCCCCAACTCCTGGGAAGCCCTCTGGCCTCTCAGCTTCCTGAGTCCTCTTGTTTCACCAACTTCCTCTTTTCCCCGGGTAGATGATCAGGGAGTAGAGCCTGAGCTCGAGTCTGCGGACGACCTGGATGGAGGCACAGAGGAGCAGGGAGAGCAGGTTTGCGCCCCCGCTTCGCTCCCTGGCCTGGCTGTGCCCTGCTTGCCCTGCCCACCTCCTCTTGAAGCAGTGCAGACACCTGACTCCAAGGGGCTGGCACATGGTGGAGGCCCTTGGGGTCTGTGAGGCTGCTCCATGCCCCAGCTTGGCCCAAGCAAAAACTTAGGACAGAACACATGGCCAAACTGGTAAATCAGCAAGCACGTGCCAGTGCAACTGAACTGCTGGTGCAAATATTTAAATACTACCCAAGTTCAAGTGCCCTCTCTGCTCTCTGGCCTCTCCTCATTCTCAGATCCAGTAACTAAGGAGGTAGTGCCTAGTCCAGCAGGGGGCTTTCAACAGCCTATTCCAGCTCTATTCCAGGTGGTTAAAGGTGGGCAATTATTTAAGCCTTTATCTCAGCCCCTAAGAGCTCAGGTTTGGGGGCTGCCTTTTCATGCTGTCACCTGGGGAAGAAAGGGGCTGCACCCTGCTTATCTGGCTTGGATAGGGAATCTGCTTTTCTGGGGGCACATCTTCTGCCCATTGCTGCTGGAGCCAGCCTTTCAGATTGACCCAGCCACTGCCTCTCTTGCAATGCTGAAGGCAGAGGACTGGCCTCCCTGTGAGACAACACAGTTTTGTTCTGTCTGATTGCAGTTCTAGGCAGAGACCCAGGCTCTCTTTTGTCTTGAGATGTTTTTTGGATGGAGAACCAAGCATCAGTTAGAGAGGGCCTTTTCCTCTTTCAAYGGGGTTTTGTTTGGAGATGATATCTGTGATTTGGAAAAGTTCATCCTTCCACAAGAAGTTTTCTTGCTGATTTTCTGGCACTGACTTCTGAAGTCAGTGTCTGAGAGGGAGGGGGGCTTTTCTCAGGTGGTCTTGGGCCTGCTTTGTCCCAGGTGAGGCCAGGTAAGTTGAAAGATGGACAGAGGGTGTGATTTTGCCGTTGGATCTGCCAACGCTGCCTTTCATCCCCCAAAACCATGCATTCCTTGGAAACCCAACTCTCACCTGCTGCTTATGGATGCTCTGGCCCAGTGGAAACACGTCTCACCATTTTGTTCTCTGTGTTCTTATAGCTTTTGGGTGGTTTTACCGGTACGATGGCAAATTCCCAACTATCCGGAAGGTAGGACAGGACTGGGTGCCGTGCTGGTTTGCTCCTCAGTTTGCAGTGGGGTTTGGACTTTAAAATTTTTCTTTCCCTATCAGTTCTGAACAGTGCCATCCACCCATTCCCTTGGAGGGCTAACCCTGCCTGCATCTCTGTCAGGGTGACACCAAATGACAGAGGCATCATGAGGGGCAGAGGCATCATGAGGGACAGGTATACCTGTCATGAGACTTGACCAAGGACCATCAGACTCCGTGTGGGTCTATACCAACTCCCAGGGGCACAGGGCAGGGCCAGGAGACTTCTGCTTTGTTCTGACAGAACCAGAAGCCATGACCAGGAATCTGGGATCAGAGTGAATTACCAGGGTAGGTGTACACAGAGCCACTTCTCCAGGTTCAGACTGGCTACCCATGTAGCCTTGGGTTGGACAGGAAGCTACACCCATCACAATTCTCTCCTAGAACTATCTCTGCATTTACCCAGGATTATACATTTTTTCCCCAGTTGCTAGGGCTGTTAATTTTCTGTTTAAATCTTATTATAGTATCTGCAGGCCCCATAAAATTTTCCTGTCCTTTGTCTTTCTAAATCACTTTGGCATTTGATTATATAAATGCCGCTGTTAATAACTGTAGATTGGACATTCAAGATGGCTTGGTATTTGGAAATCAGCCTATTAACATAAATCTGAGTGAGCTAAATTGGATGTTACCAGCTTTCTCTGGCAAAAAGTCAATACTCCAGAAACCAAAGCACTGGCAGCTAGGTGACTGATGCTCTGCAACTTCTCCCTTCCTGTAAAATGGGGATATCAGATGTGCCAGGAAAATCTACCCACTTTCTCCAACACATTCCCATTAAAATTATAGATAGCAATATTCTGGCTGACACAAGTTATGTGTTCACCCAGAAGCCTAGATCATGATATGTATAGGAGTGAGTAAACTTTGTACAGAGCTCCCTGGAGATGTCGTCTCATACTACCATGGTCCTTAGTCTCATAAAATTATCTTCTTTATTTTTCAGCCTGACTCCAGGGCTTAGGTTTCTAATCTTCTCTCCATACTGTCTCTATTAGAACTCAATTAGAGAGGGCAACACACACACACACACACACACACACACACACACACAACACACACACAAACACACACACGTGGAATTCTACTGGAAAAAAATAATAAAAGGAGACAGGTCAAATCTTTTCCAGGCAGTAATAACTAGGAAATGTGAAAGAGCTAGAATCTCTTGCACACATCCATCACAAACCAGGTCACTTGAAATTTGCCCTTGGTAGAGAGTTAGAGCTGGTTTCCACTATTTATTAGTCCTATCATTTCAGAAACAGCTGGCACTATGGTTTTCATTTTTATTTCCAAAAGAGAGAACAGTTGCTCCTAGGTAGAAGCAAGAACGCATCACCCCATCTGCCTCTCCTCTCAGCCTTGACTGAAAGGAATATTTACCATGAATTTGACAGCTAAAAGGACAATGTAGTCATGTCCCTCATGCTGCTTTGAAAATCCATCATCATTTTGCCTATAACCAGGGGAGATGCTAGAACACCAGGTCCCCAGGTAATACAAGGGGACATCCATGGCCATGATCATTAATGCACAAAATCCCCCTATGAGAAAAGACAAAGATTTGTTGACTTCTGCTCCTGCTCTGAGTAAGACCCTCTGGGGCTCAAGGCCTCCAATCTGTAGCCCTACAGAGTCTATGCTGGGACCTGAAGTATTCATGGTTCCAACTAAGACCTTTCACCAAAACTGCTTAAGTCAGTCATGCAGAGCCCTTACTTGCAAGGGCCCACAGTCTGGCAGAGAAAGCAGATTCACACACAACTAAGTTACCTGTGTGGGGGTTGGGGGAGCTGGCAGGGAGATTTGTCCTTCTGCATCTGTAAGCTGCTCTACTGGGGATGGGACAGAAATGATTTACTATCASCCTGTCACACTCAGAAGCCCTGGCTCTACAATCTTAGCACCAGGTGGGTCTTTTTTCAAATCAATAGGAAATTCTTTCCTATCATGGTGGTCCCTGTGGGAGRCCATGCCTTTATTCTAACAAACCGCAGCATGTTTCTGGCTCCTCTTGGGGAATTGCTGTTCAAACCTACAACATGGTGGTTGGGATTCATTTCTCAACTGAGCCAAGACTTTAGTGAACAGCATGGGCAAGGAGGACTCAGAAGCAAAAAGAAGCATTTTATCAAAAGGCTCATAGACTGCTCTGGAGGCAGGTCCCAGAAGTGACCACGTCCAAAGCATATTGGCTGTACATGGAGGTGAGAGTTGTCTTTGCTTGGGGGTGAGGATCGTATAAGTCTGCAGAGATCCATAATGACTCACCACCCCTCTGGCTATGGATGAAAGCTGTATGTCCATTGCTGGGAAACTCAATTCCTCATTCCTGCCCTTAGATACTAAGATGATTCAAGAAATCCAAGAGCAGCCCCAGGAACACTTTTTAGAGATGGGGGTGAGCTCAGTGAATAGAGGATTCCCACCTTGTTCCAGAAATTGCCCAGAATGTTGGCTTTCTCTGCGTCCCCTCTCCTGTCCTCCATGCTGCGTGTGGCAGGGGCTTACCCTCCCTCCTGCTGTTGTCTCCTTGTCCCTGGCTCATCAAGGCACAGTAGAAAAATTGATCCAAATCCTGGCACCATCACTTACTAGATGTCTGATATCAGGCAAGGAACTTCACCTCTCAGAGCCTTCATCAAGAGAATGGGACAAAGCCTACATCGGAGATAATCAGTGTACATCCCTTGGCACACAGGCAGTCCATAAATATTCATTCTCTTCCTTTCTTACCCTTGGGCTTCCTTGCAACCCAATGGCAAAAGCAGCCAGGAGAATAGGTTCTGTGAGTCTAATTTATCAGGGTCTTTTTGCCCTGCATCTCCCTCCCCAAATCCTCACCAACACTGTGAACACTGTAAAGCAGTTAGGCCCTTTCCCCACCTGCACCTCCTAGCCCTATGGCTCCCAGCTAATCCTCAGCAAAAGCTCCCAGGTCAGAGGGAGCCGTGGATTTGACCGTCCAGGACAGAAAAGTCTAGAACCTACACATGAAGGCAAAAATCCAGTGTTCCTGGCTCTGGGCCCCAGATCTAAGTCTGCTCCCACCTCCTCCAGTTCAGGACAGAGGATCTCTGCAGATCTGCCAGCTCTCCTGGATTTTCTCTAGAATCTCCCAGGATGAATCTTTTAGCATCGGAACATGATCCACCTTTCTTCTCAGATATTGGGGAAGGCATGGGCCTGAATGCTAGGAAATAAATACAATGCCTTTTATTTAGACAGCACTTTGAAGTTTACAAAGCCTTTTCATAGATGTTATTTCACTGGCACTAAATAAAAGCCTGTGGGGCAGGTATTGCCCCCATTTCAGTTAAGGTGAATCAAGAGAGGCTGAGAAACTTAGCCAAAGTCATACAACTAGTTAGTGAACTAATAAGCCAGTTCTTCTGCCTGGCAAAGGAATGTGCCTTCCACTCTGTAATGGAGAGCAGTGGTCTTCCTATCCAAAAACCTGAGGTCTGATGCCCAGTGCAGTGGGGCAGAGCTGGGGTGGGGTCACCATGGCAGAGGGTAAGGGGGTTTGCCCAGTGTTGTCCAAGGACTGGATGCCGTTTGCTGTGCTGTGCTGGTGTCAACTACTACCTTGTAGCCCTTGTCATATAAACAATGACACATCTGCTCAGAAAGGAAAAGATAAGAAGAAAGCCAAGTATGACAGCCTGCAGGAGTTGAGAAAGAATAAGAAGGAATTGGAATTTGAACAAAAGCTTTACAAAGAGAAAGAGGAGATGCTGGAGAAGGAAAAGCAACTAAAGATCAACAGGCTGGCCCAGGAGGTACGTGTCCTGCTCGTAGGCCAGGCGAGC